CCTCATCATATTTTTTATTTTGGCATCCTTTAATATGCTTCTCCATTCAAAGCAGTTGCTATGCAAAAAGTTAAATATATTTATTATGTTAAAATGAACTACCAAAATATGAATTCTCTTCCCTCTTTAGTGTCCACTAATGGCCCTCCACCCCCTACAAGCCATCTGGACAAGAAGTCACTTGAATCCTTGAGAGACGTGGCTACGCCTGACCTCAAGTCGGGCAAACCTAGTGATGTCATCTGTATTGAGGACTAGACCAGCTGTGTAACACTGACCTCAGGTCAGAAACTCCCAGGTATGGATTCTGTATGGATGACAGCTGCCCATCTCTTCCGCCACATCCTCCTATTTCTCCTGCTCCCTAAAAATCTACAAAGTCAAGCTGTCTGTCTGCGAAATAAGGCAATTAACTTTTTGATTAATGCAGATGTATCTATCTTAACAATTGCACTTTTATCTTTCAAGGATTCTATAGAAGTATTTCAGTAGATGTTTGCTTTTGTTAACCTGTGCTGGAGAGCCCGAAAATTAGGAGGGAAAATGAAGCGGCTTTTCTGAAAGAGGAATTTTTTTTCCAGCCCTGCACTACAAGGCAGAACTCAAGCAAGTTGGAATGACTGAGTTTCAGATGCTCTTGATTGGGGCTCATTCTAATCTTGGAATGTGTGTTTTGTTCGTGCCAGCCTTGAATTTGTCATTCTGCGTGCCCCCTGTTGCTTTTATCCATCTGCCTATTCACTGTACACTGTGACTGTGCCCACTGGAGCTTGTTCTCTGTGAAGAGGAGTGGAGTTAAGGACGTCTTCAGTCATAGTTTGATAGGAGGCTGTTTTCCTGAGGGCCGATATTGTTACTTTAAATAAATATGTGTTTTGTCATTCATGTAGTAACCAGTGGATAAATTATTGATTTGAAAGCATCAAAACCTATTATCATGTATGCAGTAGCTGGACACAGTCTGTCTGAATCCTCTAAAGACTGCCACCCGCTGGTAATTTGGAGAAAGTAATCTCTGCCAAACCTGCAGATACACTTGACTGCAGTACCAGTAACCTGTGAGGGTTGGCTTCTTGTACTGTATATACTCAGAGACTGCTGTTTATTTTACCTCACATAGGTCTAATCATAGTGAAAATATGTATACATACAAGGATGAAATCAGAAGCCTGGCTTGGCGTCGTACATGAAGATCAAGCAGAGAAGAAAACTGCTGCAGGAGTGGCAAAAATGATTTTTAACGCATTTCGGAGAAGACTGAGTATTTCTGTGTATGGTACAATATTTGTGATTCTTATTATATTTGAATGTTAGTAGTGGCTGTAGAGCTTAACCCTGGGGCCATGACCAGCGGGACTGCACTATAAACAGGAACTCATCTGGTCTGCATCCACATACAGGGCTGTTCAGGCCTGACTGAGAGCAGATTCCTGAGTGGAGAGTGGCTTTTTCCTCTTAGGTACATCCCAGGGACTTTCTGGGTTCCCTTTCATTGTTAGAACTGAATAAGAACATATGTGCTTATGGCGCAGTGTCACCTTAAGTCTAGTATTTGTCTCTTTCTGTTAAGGTAAAATAAGATGTATTTGGTCACTTTTTGGTGCCATTAAAGAAAATGATCCAGTATGATTTGTTCTTTGATGCAGTGTATTTCCTCCACAGAGGTGAAGACTGTAATTGGTGGTGTCACAGTCTAAACCTACATTTGAAGGAATGTTCTCTGTACATCAGCTTCTAAGGACCAATGTTGCACAGCATTAATCTTTAGATAATGTCTTCACTTCCAGTTTCCTCAGTTCTGTTTGGGTTCTTTCGAGAGTGTATTTTGCTGCCTATTGCTTTACCTGGTGTGAAGACACATTAGCATGGTATAGCTACATATCTTGTCCATTCCCTCTACTACTATTATGTGCTAAAGTGACTGTCCACTAAGTAAAACAATCTTTTATAAATTCAAGCTTACTATATTTCCTTTTTTATGAAGGCATTGTTCGAATGTTTGGACTCCAAGTGCAAATTGCTATTGCCATAAATTTGTCTTTTTTTCTTTTTCCAAAGACCAGTGGCGTTACCTGTTTGTATTATTATTGCCATTGCCACAGCACTTATTTGACATTGTTGGGATGATGATTGTGATTGGACTAATCTAAACTGAAGAGGTACAGTTGTACAGAGTTGGTGAGTGTATTTTCTTACTCTCCTTTTGCCACTTCAAATGGCTGTCCTGAAGTGCTGTCTTCTGACCCCTTGTCACTAACTTAGATTGTCACTGCAACCTCCTCGCCCATCATTTCTCAGACAACATGCTTTAACTTTACAACTAAAATTCAGTTTCAAAACATCAAATGAATCTTGAAGTGCATCATATCAGTTTTTGCTCTTCTTTCTTAGTGTTTATCAGTGCTGTTTTGTTCACTGTGTTTCTGTTCATGCCATCAATTACTTGACCATGACATGTATTAGGTTTCTTGACAGATAGAACCTCAGAAACATGTAAATACTTGAAAGATTTTTCAGAGATAAGTCCATCTCATACAGATTTATGTATCAAACTGAAAAAAGATGAATGTCTGCTGGATGGTGTTGCCATAGAACTGCAGTGTGCACCGTATGTGCTCATCAGTCAAAATCATGTCCTTTTCCCTCTGGAGTGATGACCATGAGATGACGTCAAAAACACAATACTCCAATGAAATGCAATCAAACTGAAGTCAGTATGAATGTAATGTCTGTTAGAAAAAAAAGGCTTCAGTCTAATATTATAAATATGTTAACAATGTATGTACATGCTTATTAACATGGCTTCAAAAGCTACCAAAAGACCCTGATAAAAGGCACCTTTGTTGCAGTGAATGCACAGCATGTGAAGCGTTTGATATGACGGTTCACTTTGGGGAGGTGGTAGTGTATCTAGCATTTACAGACAATGAGCTCCAAGCAGTGTTATGGTTCTGATATTTGTGCTGTATAGCAATTGAATGAAAAAGTGAATTGTCATCTTTTTATTTGTATTCTGTGTATTTGTTCAATGTGTTTTAATAAATCTTCTGGACAACATTGTGTGAATTTTGTCCGCAGATGAGTGAAGAAGCATACAAGTGAATATTAGCTGAAGAGGACTTGAATTAACGCAATTGACTTTCTTGACCTGACCTCAAGAATTACCTTGTTTTCATTGTGCAGCGTCTCCCAGCGCTGCACGTCACAATCTGCATGAGCCTGCAGTGCTGTAAATGTGATTAGAGGCTGAAATAGAAACACTGGTGTAGTCTGTAAGGGACAAAAATAGCAGACAGAGGCCATTCACAGAGTAGTCACAGACTAGTCCAAAGACAAAAGAAAAAATGTAATACTGAGATTATAAGTCAAAGTTTAAAAAACCCCAAGGACCAAGGAAATTTACCTTAATATAACACATGGTTGTACAACAAAATTAAAGTTTTCAGTCCCTTCATTTCACACACATAGAAAAAAAAAAGATTAAATGTATAGTAGAATAACATATACAAAAACTATATAAACAGCTATTTATATATACGCACATAATTCTGCGGAGCATTTTTTGAATGTGCTTTTGGAGAAATGTAAACAACAGCAACAAGATAGTGATAAAAATATGTTTTTCATCTTCACATAAAAAGTTATACATTTGAGATACATCCATCATCCATCCACTCTGACGCATCATCAGTGTAAATACAGTAAACACTAAGAGCACAGTGACAAACTCACACTCTCACTTGGGAGACAAATTTTCTCTTGTGGACAATAAAGTTGAAAATTGAAGGTTGTAGGTATAGCTGCTGTGTAACAAAATAAGCGACCCAATGAGAAACGCAGACGAATAATGACAAAACTAATACCTTGGGCAATGTGTGGCCAAATGCAATAAATCAAACTCAAACTAAAATGGAAGTTACAGAGACAAACAGAAAATGTTTCCGACCTCAGAATCTTTCAGGGAGTGTGGGATAATTTCTCTGCTTTTATTGCTATTTTTACATCAGTAAAAGCTGCAATTTAAGCTAATGCAATCCTATCATTATATTTCTTTTTCAAGTTGGAAACCAGAGCGCTTATTTAATGTTTCTGAATACAGTATTTTTCATCCAGCTCATTTACAGACGCCTGATTAAACTATACATAAACATACACAGTCACCAACAAAATGATGGCACAGAGTTTGTGCTGTTTTTCTGTTCAGTGTATTCATTCCATATTCTTAAGTTTCATTCATTATACAAAGACTTTTATCGAATTTTCCTTATTCTCATGAATTATTTCCTGAGCAATACAGAATATATATAATATTATCTAACACACAGCATATGACACAAGTAGCATAATGTATGAATGAATAAATGAATGAATGACCACTGGTACTGTTCTCTTTCATCCAGGTCTTATCATGCTATGTGTTCAGGTTTTGTGTGTGTCTGTGCGTGTGTAATGTACAATGTATATCCAGAGATGTCCCAATTAAATAAAGGTTTAATAAAAAATAAAAACTCCAATGCTGCTAATGCGTTTCTCACATGCTCACAACAAACATTTTTACACATTAAACCTCATTAAAAGAGTCAGTGTTTTCATTTTATACAAACTAGTTAGTGAATTATTATTTTGCATATGGAAAGTATTATTTTGCCTTTGAAAATGTGATCACATGTATGGCTGCTCACTTCAAATCTCCTTTGTGTTACTAACCACAAATCAGTTTCTGCCCTGTCTTTTTAAGCCTCAGCCATTAATGAGAAATTCATGCGGCTGACACAGTACAGTGTGAACAGACAACTTCAGCCCTACACGGAAGTGCTCTGAGAAAGCATTGCCCCCAATTCCTTTTGTCCAGCCCACTTGTCCTGAATAACTCCCCTGATTGGTACAAATAGCACCCTCTAGGCTTTTCATTGGCCGCATGCTTGACTTTGCCACTCTGCCATTGGCCGGTTGTGTCTGAGAGCTCTCAGCCTGCTTTGTGCTGCTGTCTGGGCAGCAGCAGGGGTCTGGAAGAGTGGGAGGAGGGAGAAAAACCAAAGAAAGGACAGAATGAGACCGGAGGGGCTGTGGGGGTGAAAGGACCCATCTAAAAAAGAGAGGGACAGAGAGGGGAGATAGAGGGAGGAACAGCACCGGAGAGCAGAGAGAAGCAAAGAGAAAGGGGGAGGGAGCAGAAGGGTTACCTCATCTAGAGCTGCTGGTGCACACGGTGCAGGGGAGAAGTTGTGGGAAAGTAAACAGCAGAGGAGAATTCCAATCTGCTTTCAGCCACTTGCAGCCCCCGCAGGAGACTATAAAGATGAGTGTGCTGGACCCGGCAGTGTGGTAAAACCTGAGAGTTTGTGGGAGGTTACCAGGATTAAAGGGTCACCAGGGAGTGCCTGAAGCTTCTCGGAGGACACACTACTGAGAAACGAGGAGGTGAGAGGCGTATATATTTGTTGTCCTGGAAACACTTTCCCTCTTTCCTTCCTTCATTCTGTCTGTATTCTTTCCCCCTTCTCACTCTCAGCATGGCTAGCATGTTGCAAAGACAGCAGCTTTGTCTAAAGGAGCCATTGATGGAGTGGAGTTGGGGGGTGGGTGTGCTGCTCTGTCCCTCTCTGTATCAGTCTAACAGTTACAGGGGCAGCAGAGAGGACGAGGGGAGAGTGGAGGAGGAGAGGACTGGAACGGCGGATACCTGTGTGGCCCTTTGGCAGAGTACTCACCATCATGGACGATTAAGCATGAGCCTGCCTGAGAAAGCTACAGAGCGTGAGGCCTTGTTATGATAGCAGCAGTCTCTGAGACAGACACCAGGAAGGATGAGGGAGAGATTGGCGGCTCATCCCAGACCCACACCTCTGTCCGGCTGTTTTTCTGCAGCACTGCACTGCTCTCCCACAGCCACGGGCTATAAAAAGAGATTCCCTGGCCCAGGCCTGGCCTTAACCATTCTAGTTTGACGGTTGCTTCCCGGAGTACAATAGCCCCTCCCAGGATGGATTTCACGCTGCCTCTATACTCTGAGCAGAATAGAGAGGGGAGACAGGGAGGAGAGGGGTGAGGGGGGGAGCGAGCTAGGGGACCTCTGACCAAGAAATTTGCATTTTGGGCTAGGGCACTGTTTCTGCCTCACTTGCCGGATGTCCAAGTGCCTTTAAAAAAAAGGAACTCCATGGGCTCACTGTATCAGATGTTTTTGTCCTTAGTCACTGTCCAGCACTTTAAACAGGCATTAACAATCCATGCATGCATGGCCTGAAGCTACCACAAAGACTGCACTATCAATGGGAACCCTCTCCCTTTGCCACACATTCAGCCATGAAAACTTGCACTCACACAATCATATGTACACACATGCAAGGCCTTGGTGCTCGAGTACACAATCGGCCATTTGATAGTGGTGACACGCCTGTCAAATGTTTACTGGTGTACTCTATTACACGCCTGCTACATTCCTCTGGGAATGTCAGATAATTAACTAGAAGGGTGAATTCAGGGAAGTTTGTAAATTGAGGCTTATCTACAGTATTTTGTTGTCACACCCGCATCTCATCGTAGAAAGGTGACTTGTCTTATTTCCTGTAAGCTCTTCTGATAAACTCTGAGGCCAAAGCTACTCAACCACACCGGTTGGAAGAATAACTCGTAATCCCCACCTAATGTGACCTCGGTGAGATGTCTTCTGTTTAAATGAATCTCTGGAGCTGGTCAGGTTTGTGGTAACAGCAGGTTTATTCCACATCTGCATTCATGACAAAGGACAATAGAGTAGTCATTACTTGTGAACAAATAGCGCATGCTCTATAGTGGCAAATCCTCTGTTGCTTTAAGGATTACAGTATGTTTACATTTTTTTTTTTACATCTATAATAAATATCAAAACAGAAACTGTCCCTGTCTTAATCTGAAAATCCAAAAAATGTAAACAAAAGATTTCTCTTCTGTTTTCCTTTTTTTAGTAACGATTATGTAACTTAATTACATTACAAGACACAGAAGGCAAGTAAAGTAGAGCTGCAACAGTTAGCCAATTAATTAATTGTCAACTATTAAATTAATCTGCAACTATTTTGATAAAGTATTCATCTTTTTTAATTGGTAGATAAAGTACCGGAAAGTCACACTTGAGTAAAAGTACAGATGTCTTACCAGAAAATGACTTTGGTAAATGTTAAAGTCACCAATTAGAATATTACTTGAGTATATGTGATTAACTGTACTTAAGTATCAGCAGTTCATTTTTTGATATTAAATCTACTTGAGTATTTAAAAGTAAAAGTACAAGTAAATACTGTTAATAAAAAGCAAGCAGTCAGAATTTTTTAGAATTATGAAGTTTATTCTTTACACCACCTTGAAGAACAGTTGAAAAAAAAATATTTCTTCACAACTTAAAGAACAACTTTAACTGTAAAAAAAATAATAACAATGACTGTCCAGTTTAATGTTAATTTAATCCATTATAATTAGTACCTGAGATTGGTTGCCAACCAATACCATCCCAACAACAATAATGGTCCGCTTCCATCATGAACTCTGTCTCATTGTCCAGTGGAATTGTACTCATGTAGTTGCAAGCATCTGACACACTAGATTTGAGTAAGTGATTAACCATTGATCTAACTTGCTTACAAGCTAGGACCACACAGATTTAGCAAACCTGCAAAGATGCTTAGAGTCAATGTATTTGAATACAATACAAATCTAATGGGGTAAAAGAGGTCAAAGTTGAAAGAAATAGAAAGTATAGTTCAAAAAAATTACTCGGTACTGTAACAATGTATCATTACTTTGTTACCTTAAAGAACTTTGTAAACGCAAAATGTCCAAATTCTCTGATTTCAACTTCTTAACTGTGAATATTTTTCCTCAATGATAGTAAACAGTGTAGATCAGTCTGATATATATATCTGCTCCTCTGCCCATCAACGTTAAATACCTGCGGCACCGCACGATGGTTCATGTTGAGCAAACTCTAAAATAAACTAGAGAATTAAATAGAATTGAAATGGTGAAATAACATATACTGCAGTCATTTTCAGTTGGATTTTATTTACAAAAAAGGTCTGTCCAGTAGTCCAACCTGCATGGAGCACTTTTTTGTTTTGAGATCTGAGAGAAGAGCCTGTAACCCGGTGCAGTTTGTGAGAAAATATGAAAGTTATTCAATGTTTATTAAGCACATACAATTGAATTTTACATTAAAGAAAAGTTACAAAAATGTTTGTGTATACTGTCAATTATAGGTCCTAGAAAGAAAATTGGAATCAGACAAAATCAAAATCTGTAGGTCAGACAAAAAAATCTGAAATGGGTGCATCTCTAGAGGAAATGATCGACAGATTAATCGACAATGACAGTAATCGTTAGTTGTAGCCTTAAAGTAAATCATAGAAAGTACCTAATCTGCATGTTTAATATATTATCAGACTCTATAGGCTGACATACTGTAACATACCTGCATTTATGTATAGTATAGTGGTCATCTCTAGTGGACAAATTGCATACATGCTCTATCTGGAAAAATGACATATCGCTATAGCTTTACTGGAGAGATTAATACTGCCAGAAGAAAAGATAGAAACAAAAGTCCAGTGTGTAACATTAAGGAGGATCTATTGGCAAAAATGGAATATAATATGCATAACTTTGTTTTCATTAGTGTATAATCACCTGGAAATAAGAATTATGTTACCTTAGAATGAGCTTTTTATATTCAGACGCCTGCCTCCAACACTATCATCCATCAGCATTGGAACATGAAGCCATTTCAGGAACCCACACCTTCTCCACATTGCTATTTAATCTTTCTAATAAGCATGTCAACAAACATTACAAACAGAAAGCAGGATATGGGGGACCTTCTTACATTGAATTGTGGGAAGATTTAATTTGGCCAGTATTAAAAGCATTGTATGATACTTCCTGAATAATTGATTGAACACTTTCACCTTCAGGAGTATATTTTTATATCTGGGCTACAACTTCATTTTATTTTATCCTATATCGGTTTATATTTTGGCAAATTGGCCCCATTAAAAGTATGCAGAATTAGCTATTTATTAGAATTAACAAATAAAAACAAATGGTTAACTTAAAAGTCCAATGTGTAACATTTAGGAGTATTTATTGGCAAAGATGGAATATAGTAGGCATAACTATGTTTTCATTAGTGTACAATCACCTGGAAATAAGAATTATGTTACCTTAGAATGAGCGTTTTATATTGCGACGCCTGCCTCCAACACTATCATCCATCAGCATTGGAACATGAAGCCATTTCAGGAACCCACACCTTCTCCACATTGCTATTTAATCTTTCTAATAAGCATGTCAACAAACATTACAAACAGAAAGCAGGATATGGCAGACCTTGTCTTACCCTGCCTTACATTGAATTGTGAGAACATTTAATTTGGCCAGAATTAGAAGCATTGTATGAAACTTCCTGAATGATTAAGTGAACACTTTCATCTTCACTTTCATATCTGAGCTACAACATCATTTTATTTTGTCCTATACTGGTTTACATTTTGGCAAATTGGCCCCATTAAAAGTATGCAGCTAATTGTTTTGCATCACAAATTAAATACTAAGAAATGATTAAAATCATGTTGATGTGAAATTCAAACTCTTGAATGAAACAAACATGTTTTCATAAATCTGGAGAACAACATATGTAGGCCAGGGCATTTCTGCAGTGCTACCGTACGTCATTATAACGCTGTTTTGTCACATATTTGACCTTCAAACAAATTGCAGCTTCTGTGATTTACAGATTGCTTTTGCGATTTGCATATTTCACTTGGTTGTGTTACATAGCTGTAGTGACAACTGTCACTGGATTACTTTCATCATACTGAAGGAAACTTAAAAACGTGATGATTCTCAGGCAGACTTCAAGTTGTTGAGAAGTCAGCACTGATCAACAAGTCAAGGCTCTGCAGCTACAGCAGTCACACTGTAATAAGTGCAATATGGTTTAATATACTTACAAATAATTGTGATCTAGTTTATGTTATTGGTTTTATCCCAAAAATTATAAATATACTTTCCCTTTACTTAAAATGTATCAGTATATATATATATATATATACACAATATATTTTAAATAAAACTAGCACTAACTATTTGAATAGTTATGACTGTTATTTTTGTGTACATGAAAATATCACTATTAAGTTCAGTATCATGTCTAACAAGTATGTAAGTACTTGATTTTGTTGGATTCATGTTAAGTAATGTTAGTGTTCATTCTTTTTAATAAAGCCTTGAAGTTAACTCAACTCAAAAAGTCCAATACAACTACTTACCTCACTTTTTTTTAAGTTAGAGAAAGTCTTTACTTTTTAGAGTGCACTTTGTGTTACTGGATCTGTCTTAGACTTGTCATAGGCTGAAACACTGTGTGCCAAAATTACTCAACTAAATAATTTTTTACTGTCCATCCTGGACAACACAAACTTCCTGGTCTCTGGAATCCTCTCCGTTGTCAATTATTCCGTTATTTTCATTCTCATCAAACCATTCAATGACACCTCCAGTCCTGTATAAAATCATCTCCACTCATTCATTCAGGTTGTTACTTTAATTGTGCCCCATGTCTGTCGTTATTTTATTGGTTCCAAACGTATTTGAAAAGCTAGTCACCACATACAGGACATTGTTATGTCTGTTCAGTGTTACACTGCAGCACACACACAGCAGTCCAGTACTCTATTGTGCTGTTAGCGCAAATGGCAGATGGGACGTGGGGGTTACTCCACTCTCTGTGTCCTTGACTAATGTGACACCACAACCACATCACTGCTGTTGTGGACTGACATTACTGTAGCTGCTCTCTACAGCAGAGGGCATATGAAGGCCAGACTGGCTCCTGGATGAATATTACATCCCTGAATGTTTTAACAGTGGCAACATGATGACAAATCTGGGGGAAAGTAAGAATACATCTCAAATATGCATAGATAACCCTCTTATCATATTGTGTTTACAGTGTGATATGATATTCCACACGGCCTTTAGCACACAACCGTCAGAAATTAATTTAAAGTGAAATTTAAAATATTCATAGCGTTCATAATATATAATGCAATAGGCTTAGAGTCTTCTGTGCTCTAAAATCATTGGAAGGGCACTGTTATGTTTTAGCGAATCCATGAAATCCACAAATGTCTGTGAACAGCCTCCCACTCAGATTGTTATTATCTTTTGACAGCCAAAGAAAGACATATTCCGTCTGTTCTCAAGGAGCTGTTTGCAGTTCCTAAATTGGCAGAGTCGCATTCGTATCTCTTGATAGGAAGTCCTCAGGGGAGCGGAAGACGGAAGGAGCGCCAGAGGCAGAATCGTCTCTTCCTGGCACTGTTTGTTGTTGTCAATGGTCCGCTGGTCTCTTGTCTGCTGAGTGTTTGTGTGCCATTTTCTGTTAAGGATAAGCCTTAAAGTAGCGGCACTCTCAGTGACTTTCTGTTAGATTTTCCAATGCTGTTAATTCAGTCGTCACCAGCTGCTGTTCTCTGCCATTGTCTATTGATACACTCGACTGCAACTGACCAATGGCTGTAAGGTTTGTCTGCAGTTTGTCAAACATAACACCCTGTAAATCAGTGGCTAGAACTAAATACGCAGCCCGGCAGAGCTGCAAAGAAAGAAGTTAGGAAACTCTTCTTCTTGTTTTTAAATCCTGTCATTTCATTTTTTAAAACAGATTACATATCCTTACTCCTTTATGAAATGGAGTGCAGTACAATAGGGAGCTGAGATGGAATCAGGCAACATAAAACAAATGCCAATTACACACAAGATCCAAGATTGCACAATTTGAATAGAAAGAAGGGGGAAAACACAATTTAATATGCAAATCCCAGACATAATATAACTTTTTTCAGACAGAATGTACTCCGTGAATCTGTGGCCTGGTGTACCACAGATCACCAATGAAAGTGTACACACATCACTTTCCTCTGTACATATACAACATCCCTCCACTCATTACCACATTTGGTACACAGCTGGAGAGTTTTCAGCGCTCTATGTAGGTCAGGGACAGGGTGTGTAGGAGTTGGTTTCATCTCTATTCTGTGATGTATCTTATTTTCCCCTCAAGAATAGCTTTCACACAGCACCACTCCCGGGGCTCTTTATTTTTCTAAGCTGGAGTTTGTTTGATGACTTGTCCAAATGCCTTCCCTCAAAGAAAGTTGTTCAGACTACCTGTCATTTCGATTCTGAGAAGTGAAAAACTTTTGGGTTTCAGTCTTATATTTGTCTTAGCAAACGGAACTTTAATTCAAGGAAGCGGCGGTGCTGTTGATTGTTGGTAATGTAAAAATATCTGTTTTTTTCCCAAGATCTCAGGGCGCTTTTATGCTTCCTCAATCCAATCTGATTTAGAATCAGTTTATCTGTAGAGGTATAAGTGGGGCAATAACGTTCAATAAAATCTTACACTGATGCTTTTCTACATTCATTAAAAGAGAATGCTGCTGACAAAATCCTTAATTTTTCCACAAGTTATATAAGCTATACTATAGTGTACAGCCATGGCCCAAATGACCTGTGAGCTAATCAGTACTGCAGTGACGAATGTAGAAACAATGCTTTCTAAGGCTCAACAGAAGTTTTTCCCTCCACAAAAGCGCCTTTGTTGATTCGACCAATGAGTGGGCCGACTGGAAAAACTGTGTTTGTGGTACAGTGGAGGCGACTGGGTCCAAAGGCTGCAGTGGCATATCATACTCGTAAACAGGCAGAGGATTTGTTTCTAAAGAAGGTAGCAGTGTTCGATTAACATAATTTTTATTTTCACTGTAGTCTTCAGACTTCTTAAACACATATGTTGGTATTTCAGGATTGAATTTAATTCATTCCTGAACCACAGGGCTTACAGACATCATGTCCAGATTCAGCTGTCAGCAAGCTGTAGTAAAAGATGATGAGAGTCATAACTAATATCATGACAACCTTTGTATCCAGGTTAAACAATAAGTGCTGACAATGAATCTGACAATCCACAAGCATCGGCTGTTTTCCTGTGCAGCCGCCTCCGCTCCATGCTGTCATTTTCCCAAAGGAGCACGATAAACTGCCCAAGAATGTTTAGTTTGGTGCTAATCAAAATGCAAAGCAGATGCTGGGTTGGTGGTAACATATACAGAAACAGAGTCTGCACGTCATAGAAAATCCCCACTTTGTGAAATAGTGAAACAATTACTGTGTACAGCAATTTAATACCTTGAGGGCATGTGTGTCATGGAAATGTTCTATTTTATTTTGAAAATATGCTAACAACAAATCTAATTTCCATGATTACAGCTGACAGTTTTTGTTAAGGATCTACCATGGGTCCAAAATAACTGTAAAACATATTACGTGTTTGCAAGTACTATGTCTGTATTGATAATCTTTCATTAATTTTTAATTAAGTCCTAAAATGTCTTGTTTGCTGTCATACCTGTTTTCATTGATAAGACAAGATGAAATTAGTCTCTTAGATAATTGAGGTCTGTAATGTTAGGGAACATGTTTTCATCGGTGGGTGTGTGGATATCTTAATTAATCTGCCACTAAGCCTCGCCAGACTCTTTGATTTAACTAACAGTCTCTCTAGCGGCCATATGTCATGCTTATAGTTCTTGGATTATACTCAGTTTCTCTCTCGGTGCACCTAAAATATGGAGTAGATGTAACTGTACATTACTTAAGTTATACTTCATTTACACGAGGCAAACAGTTTGAAGAAGTTGCTCAATTTAGGTTACCGAGTACACTTTACTGCATGTACTGAGGAACAATGAGAATTTCAGTCTAGCGTTTAGTTGTGAACACACTGCAGGGTTAACAGTTCAGCTCAGTTCAGTGTTATTTAGTACAACACTGATTTGTAACTTACATGCGGCTATGTTTATAAAGACAAAATAACATTCCAAACCAGAGTTAATTTACCTTGTTCTGCCTTCATCAAAAATTCCTATCATATGAACTATTGAAGTTTAAACAGCGGCCTTTTAGGTCAGCACTCTAGAAATAGCACAGTAAGGTTCAAGCAATAACTCATAATACGTTCATAACGTGTGCAGCTTATTATCAGATGCAGGAGCCAAGATTTCAAGGGCTGTAAATCCCTGAAGAAAGAATAAACATGATCTTGATTTCATTATTATTATAATGAATGGATGAATTAATGAGATTTTGTTATTTATTTTGTTCATGCATACTGTATACCTTTGGGCTTACAATACACAATACATTCAAACAAGCCAGGATCAGAGTAGAGTGTAGCCTACATCATTTCAAACAACAAAGAAGATCCAGAAAGAGGAAAAAGACAATCAGACCTTCAGACCATCAACATAATTCATAAATCACAGACAGAAACTTACTAGTAGTGAAGTGAATTTGAATTATTATTGTAAGATTAAGTGTTATAATTCTGTCATCTGTAGCCTTAAGTAACTTTATCTTTTTCAATACTAAAATCTTTTTGATTATGAGCTATCAGTCATTTTTTTCATTATTGTGTCACTTTCAACTCACATGGTGGACATCTCATTTTGTCTCATTCTTAGGGATTATGTCTACTGTGATGTCTCAGCAACCGCCGAAGGAGGACGAAGAGGAGGAAGATGAAGAGCAAGGGGAAGAGTTTTTGTTTGAGGACAGTACGGATGAGGACAAACTTCAGGAGGACAGTAAAGGGATCAGCTCTGACTCTGTTAAGTCTGTCCAGTTGTCAAAAAAGGAAGGCAGTGAGACATCAGACAGCACACAACTTCACACAACTTCGCCTACTGCTGGACAGGGGGACATTTCCACCAAGGATGTAACTTCAGTTCCTACTGCAGGTAACACATTTTCAGGAATAATATCTTTTAATTGGTGCTGAATCTGTCTTGGTTGTTCTGTTAGATAGAGCTCTGGGTCAGTTGTTTCAGGACATCTAAAAGTGAACATCCACTGATTGGCAGGATTTACTCTAGTAAATATACCAATAGCATATAGCGTAATTAGATCTTACCTTAAGTGAAAATCAACCAAATATTCATTATAATTAAGATACGATAAGATAAGATAAGATATTCCTTTAATAGTCCCACAATGGGGAAATTCCAATCTTACAAGTGGATAGAGAAAAAAAAACAGTATACAGACAGTATAAAAACAGTAGGAAAAAATAATATAATATAAACACTGTACAAGAGAAAAAAGCAGCAGTTGCACATGGGCAATAGATTGCACAGTAATTATTGTCCCTTGATTATTGCACATTGTTATTGACAAGATTATTATTATTATTGATAATAATAATTATAATTACTAATCTCTACAAAACAGTGGACGCACTCAGTTACTTCTTCTAATGTGTGCAATGGTTTTTTTGATTTCCTTAAGCAGATATTTAAATTGGAGTACATCTTAACTTTTTATGCAGTTATTAATGGTGAAATGACCGTTTTAGTAAAGGGAGGGTCCAAAAGTGCTTAATGCAGTATTTATTATACACTCAGTGTTTCTCAAATAGGGTACGTGTACCCCTATGGGTACTTAGGAGTACTGCAGGGCGTACAAGCTGATAATATGTTTTGGATTCAAATTTTAATATGACAAGTAAGTAACTTATAGTATGTACAAATTATGATAAATATCTCTGAAATGTAGTGGAGTAGTATAAGTATAAAGTAGCAAAAAAAATAAAACTGAAGTAAAGTACAAATAGGAATATAATAAAACTTTTTTGTCCACAAAGGTGGAAAAATGTCTTGGGCCCATCTGAAAAATTCAGGCGTATTAAATACCAGGAAATTGAAAAACAGTACACTACATGAGTAAAAGCATTTATTTATTTTCCACCACTGCTGATGGGTGTGGAGTTTGACAGTTTGACATTATCTGTCTTAAATTAATGTAACTTAAACCATTTTGTTTTTAAGAAACACAGGATAGTTATTAAAGTTGCTGTACTGTAATCAAAACCCATGTGCGGCACGCTGTCATCAAACTGCTGCTGGGCATAACTCGAGCCACCACTTACTTAGTCATTGTACAATGATCTTCTTATCTTTCTTATCTTCTTTGATAAAACAGATTGGCTCGAAATTGTAAATTTCATGTGTCATCTTTAGTTAAAATGTAATCTGATCAGTTTCCCATAGTCACGCGCTGTGTGAGAGACTTCAGTAAGTTGTATGTGGTTTTATGTATGTGGTCTCTACTTAACAGGATTTATTTTTTGCTGCAGGCAGAGAGCAGGGTTAACTTTCCCCTTAATTGGATGAAGTTATGTAGATATAAGTATGATATATTTACTACCTGGCTAATGTTGCTAAACAGGCCCTGGTAATTACACGCCCAGATAAAGAGGGAGATTTAGGGTCTTGGAGAAGTTTCTGTTGGACAAAGTGAAGCGATTATTGCTTAATTAAAAAGCTTTTTCGCCAAGTCTGCGTGTGGTAATCCGTTAAGTGGGCTGTGGAGATGCGTAGGGGAATTCTGGGCGTTGATAATAGTGTGTAGTGGGGGTCTGTTATGTAATTGAGGGTTGAGAGCAGTTGAGACTCAGATCCCTCCCTCACCAGAAGACATGAGTTTACATGGTGCAATCCAAAGGAAATCCAAAAGAAGGACCGTGGCATTTGTTCAACAGCACAGCTTTCTTGGACATACCTTTTCTGTAGAAATATAGTAGAACCATGCAAAATCAGTTTTCAGTTGTAACTACTTTGCACCATTTGCTTCATTATCTCAGCCTCAGGTGTCCTCTCTGTAGGCAAGCGTGATTTAGTTCTTGACAGTAACTTTTTCGGTTTTGAAAAGTTCTACTGCGCAAAAAAATAAAAGAGAATAAGTAACAACATAAAATCAAAGTCTCTCAAACTGTCTTCTAAAGATGCTGATAAGTTGCATTTGTCATCTTTCAAATATGTTTTTCCTTTGCTTTTTATCCTTTTTGTTTGTCTCATGGTTGCGATTTTCCTTATTTTGACAGATGTTCCAGTTAATGAGTCACCCAGCTGGTAAGTTGCCTTTGATTCCTATCACAGTATGGAGAAAATTACTAAAGGGCGGTGGAGAAAGTAAACTCAACATCACACTACATCAGTGTTATATCAAAATGTCTGAGATAATGCTTACACTCCGCCCCAATTACACCACCACAGTGGGTTTGAGATAGATGTGATGTTACGCCACATCTATTCATACGACTTTTGATGATGCCAGATGGCATGTCACACCAACAGTGACATGGGATAATGACAAGTATAAAGTCATGTTGCTGATGGGATTCTAGGAGGAAATCAGAGGATTGCGTAATACATGATGATGCATACAGTATAATTTGATTAGCATTATGCAGTTAAGAGTTCATCCAATGACAAAAAACAAAATTTTCCTTGTAACCCTACTGATATGTAAGTTAAGTAAGTTTTAAAATCCTTCTGCTGCCCAGGAAATTCATTTGTGATGCTTAAAGCACTGAATTACGCCATTTGAAAAATAAAAAATCATAGTTTCCTTCCAGAAACAGTAGCTCTTTATCTGGGACAACCAAATGAAATAATAGTAATTGAAATGATTAATTGCGCCTCTGCTTTTCCTGCTGTGACATGTGAAGATGTCTGTGAAGGTGTCAATGGATTATAACAGAGAAAGTGTTTCTGTAAAGTGTTCTCCATTTAGCTTCATTGTATTTGGGTGGTGACACAAATTAAAGGCTCTGCACACCTATGGAACACCCACACAGGTGATTTCAATTATTTTGGCTGATTAGACCTTCTCTCGGGACTGTGTGGGTGTGAGTGACAGCCCCCTCACTCTCATGATAGCTTTGCTGCACAGGTAAGGGTGGGATTACACTTTTATTACACTTTGATCATTGTTATTGGTAAATGGAATCTTAATTCCCAGCTCAGGTACGCCTACCTTCAACCTGACTGGAGGTCTAATCAGCCACAGTAACTGAAAACACCTGCGTGGGTGTTCAGAGCATTTAAAATGAGGATTATTCAAAACCTTGGCACATAATACCAAAACATGCTGCACATGGGGGAAATGTACTTTATTTTCATGTGATTTGAGTAAAATGGCATCTGCATATGGAAACGCAGTTTTAATGACAAGAGATCTGTTTAGATCGTCAGACATGTGCTGACAAATAGCTCTTTATTTAGTTTTCATGTGGGCTGAGATCGGTTTTGTTCTTTACATTGAGATGAATGATCCAGCATCATAGGGAATGCAGCAGAGTAATACTTTACAGTCTTTATCAGCTTGACATCACCGCAAAACCAAATAGCTACTATCAGTAGCTCTAAATGACACGTTGGCAGGGCATTACATCTACCTCCAGATATGTTGTGGGCATTTATGCCACAACAGGGAGAGCATGGCACAAACACAAGTGAGTTGAACTGTAGTCTTAATGTACATTTCTGGCTGCGTAGGTGTATGAATGAAATGACCCCAACCCTGGTGCAGTCAGACAGCATCTATCACACAATCAAACGTTTGCTTTAAGGCCTCGGCACAATAAATAGGAATCTGAATTATTGATTCCTCTAAGGCAACTGTCTTTTTGCCTGCCCCCCTCCATTGGGAGGTTGGCAGTCAAAGTCACCTACAGTACAGCACTCCTGGAGCTATATACGTAGACAGAGAGTTTTTCTAAAGGATACTCTCGCTTGCTAGTTTGAACCCAGGCTCTCCATTTGAAAGATCCTATTTAATGCCTTAAGCAAATCGGTCAGTCAATATAGAACAAAGTGAAATAAACACTGGAATATCATTTCTAGCTGTAAAGCTTATACCACCTGCATGGGATACACGTTACCAGTTTTTAACTGCTTTAGTGGTAACAAAGCGAAAGTGGTTCAGGGACAAAATTATAATATGCTATGCTGATTCTTACATTCTTACAAAAAACGAATACTCTTTGGTTTAGATTGTATCCCTCTTCAGCCTCTCTGACCTGCGCGATGAAGCCTTGCACCTGTACTTCTATAGGAAGTCTGCTCAGAAACCTCTACTGATTCTGACTTCAGGGTTTGGATTCCTGTGGGCTTTCCTGTGTTGAAAAGAGGGGCCTATATTTTTGTACAGGTGTGTGTGTGTATGTGTGTGCAGTATATGTGTCTGCCGTGTGCACATGTGTGTGCATGAATGGCTGCATATGTACGTGTGTGTGTGTGTGGATGTTTTGTGTGTGTGCAATAGAGTCACAGTGAGGTCTTGGCAATTTCTCATGCCGGGGGATTTCTGCTGAGTGCACATTTCCACTTTGGTTTAGTCAATAGTCTGCCTTTTAAGGAAGAGCTATCAATAGCATTTTCCACCATCAAGGTGTTAAGACTGTCAGCACATCCACCAGATCTGTCAGCATTTTTAGAATAATATTGCCAAAATTACTTTGCGATTGTTATTGCAAAAAATATGGATTTTTCCTAACATTGCAATGACAGCACATCAGCTCGTTACAGCTATTAGGCTCAAGGCAGCATTTCTCTCTTGTGAGCGTTGTGTGTGTTCCAGTGTTTGATGCCAGCATTTGCTTCTGACTTCCCTTTTTTACCAGTTGACAGATAGTTTTCATTAAACACATCGCACGGAACCTCAGGAATGAAAAGATTAACACAAAAGATACCAAGGCAACGTGGCATGTATGCGTCTGTTTTACGTACACAATCACACTCTAACCTTAGAGAGTATAACTTTCCTTCAATTGTTTGGTTTGAGTTCACCTTTTTGGCCTTTTTGCAGCCTTGCAGAACTTCACACCTTTGCCCTTGCCAAGAAACTCATCTAATGTAGCTTACAGAACACATTTATTTTTCACAGGCCCTCACCCTGATGTACCCGCCTCAGTTGGATGTGCCGTGAAAGCAAAAGGAAAAGGGTGATACTGTAAAAGCATTAAAAACAAACGTGTATACAATTATGACAAGAGGCTATGAGCCAAATACTTTGAGAGCTATCTAATTGGAGTCTACCATGTGTAAAAACAACTTTGGGCAGTAACACCAGGTGCAACATGGGAATGGTTCAATGTGAGGAGTGGGCAGTTGTTTATGGAGGAGATTTATGACCTGAGGACAAACATAGCTCCATCAGTATGGTCAGCACAATGCTCGTGCAGTTACAAAGAACAGCTATGCTCAAGAGAGACCAGGGGGCAAAACAGGTAGAGCTATGGCGGGTAGTACTGGCACAGTAGCTGAGGGGAATGGATACAGATGGAAGTGTAAGATTTGCATTCAGGCTGCTTCTGTTTTAGGCTGTGCTCTGCCCCAGGCAATGTCATTTGCATTGAAAAATGACACCAGCTTCTCTCCTTGAGCTATATGACTCACTAGGGCTTATAGGCAGAGATAAGTTGTGAAGGGATGTGCAAAGATATGCCTGGATCGATAGCTACACTGCTCAAATCACTCACACCTGACATGAATGCATACAGTCAGGCAGACAAGCTGTATATCGCTGTTGTTCTGGCTCCACTCTTTTTTCCACACAAGCTATTTTAATGACAAGAGATCAGTTTATTGTAAGACATGTGCTGACAAATGGCTCTTTATTTTGTTTTCATGTGGGTTGAGATCATTTTTGTTCTTTAGATTGAGACGAATGATCCAGCATCATAGGGAATGCAGCAGAGCAATACTTTACAGTCTTTTCCAGCTTGACATCACCGCAAAACCAAATAGCTCCTATCAGTAGCTCTAAATGACACGTTGGCAGGGCATTACATCTACTTCTAGATATGTTGTGGGCATTTATAGCACAAAGGGAGAGGGAGAGCATGGCACAAAACCCATCAGAAATAGAACTATGCATAAAAAGTTTCCAGTGTTTAGATTGCTATGATTATAATTATAAGGTTATATACATTGTTATAGTTATATTTTTCAATTCTTTTTGTGATTGATGCTATCTAAATTATTCTCTTGTAGTACATCTTACCTATCAGTATTCTGGCTATGGCAGCACATATGCTGCAAACTACCCACTGTTATTTTTCATCCTTGTCTGTTCTGGGCATGCTTTCCTTTATTTCTGGCTCATAATACACGGTTCACCAGGTACTGTAGCCTACAAGGAAAGATAATGGTTTGCAAATTCATTGCAATACAGATAGTTTTCTTCCAATGCCACTTTAATATAAAGTAAGAGTCTGCAAGGCTGCCTCTTCAACAGCTCCAAATTACAGCATTTTGTGCACGTTATTTTCCTGGCATGTCTTGCCCATCAGTCAGAGTGGCTACTGCTGCTGGCATTGCAAACATTGCTGAGGTGTTTAGCAGAGGGACAGATTTAATTAGTGTGGATGGGACTCTCCTACACGCTGGATCCTGTCATATTATCAGTCATGTGGGGGCGGACAATCCTTCACTGGCAGCATCAACGCAGGCCATGTGATAGCTGTGTCAACAAGATCCCCTGTGATGTCAGAGTCTGTTTTTAATAGCTGGTTCAGGGCATGTTTTCATTCAGAAAGCCAGCACTGATTATGGTAAGCCACAGGCATGACAGATAATGATTTGACAGTGCTCAGGGGCAAGTTAAGTTACTCAAGTAACAAGCAGTAGGTGTGATATTATATATATATATATATATATTTTACACGTGGCCTTGCAAAAGTTCTCCTGAACAACTTATCTCACATACAGCTGAAGTTGTCACTATTAACACAAAAAGTGGCAGATATTGCTGTCAGAAATAATAATGTAAAAGAATCCTCTCTGTAATACTAAATAGTGTACTATTTTCAGTTTCACTAAAGGTCCTGTGTGGGTGGAAAACTTTCTTGACCATTGGGCAAGTAAAGCCTACATAGAATAAATACAAATTAAAGACAGCGCTTAGAAAGCCCGTACTTCCACCACGGCTGAACAATCCTCTAAATGTGGTATTTGTTGATGAAAAATGTTTTTAAAAGGTTCATTCTGTATCTGACTCCGCAGCCGCATAAACCTCATGTGCCAGAATATTTTCATTTCATTTTCAATTAAATCCACCACATCATATAAAATGGTGTAAAAGTTAAAACATGAAATGCAATATAACATGCTGAGTAATTCCCACGCAGTAAATGCTGTCCGTGTAAGTACAATTCCAGCTCTTCATGCATTTACGATTATGTGAATGCAAAAACGTTCCAGAAAAACACCCAAAAGAAAGCAAAAGGCACTGTATCCAATATATAAGCTTGAACTATCACAGATGAATCATACATACACGGACTGATCTGACACCAAAAACAAATCATTTGTTCCTTGGCCCATGCCCTTGGCCCATGTTTTTTGACTTATCTCTGCTAACTATCATATAAACAGACAAAACACGGCCTGCTCGGAGGGAGTAAAAATGCCCAGCTGCCAATACGGATAATAATGTCTCTAATTTAAAAAAAAGTAACCTCAAAAATATCACAGTAGTTTGACAGCAGCAAAATGTGTTCTGTCATACTTTAGGGAGTGTGGAATTGGCATGCTTGGATAGCAAAGAACTATTTCGACCCCCACCTCAAGCCAGTCTGCCTCCCCTTCCTCTTACTGAAATTAACTCATAATGAGGAACAGAGCACTTGGTGTTAGTTTAACTGTGCTAACATTTGGGTACCTTCCAGCGCCTCTGCAGCAGCAGCCGAGCCCAGCACCTCAGCTCCTTGTGTGGGAGAAGAGCTCGGGGGGCTTCCCGCCGTGCCGTCAGCTGTGGAGACGCCGGCCTATTCAGGAGACCACAGCAAAGAAATCATCAAGGAAAGCTCCGGCTCCAGGGACATCTCTGAAGGTACAGAACTAAATTATATTGACAGGGAAGTGATGCACCTTATATTGTAGATCAAGGGGTTCAATTTCAGACCAAAAAGATTAAACCTAAGCTTGCCTTGGGATTCAGGCTCATTCCACCAATGTATTATAGTGTTCACATCGCGGACAGATCTGTTAGGAAACCAATTGGGCCTCCAGAGTTGCGTAAACAGCACTGTGGACCACACCATAATGACACTGGCAATATAAATTGTGTACAAGTATTTTGTTAGTACTGCACAGTGCATCTCCTGACCTTGATCAAAGGTGGCAAGAACACCATATTACAGGCCGACGGTCTTCTTATGGTTCATTGATTTCTACAGTGAAACAGGTCAGACACACACATGTATAGACACATCCATTTGCACAAAGATGCGCACAAGTACACACTCCATTCAAAAACATACCAACACACACTGGCTTGCACACACATATTCTCTGCCATGATTTGATTTCTACACAGACATGACATAAATCCAATTAATTCAGGATGAGGATCAATAGAGAACCATTTCCATGAGGGAAAATTGCTTTTGGATTTCGACTCAGTCAGCAGTGCTGCTGTTATTTGAAGGTGGCTCAGCAATGAGAGATGTAAAGGAGCCCTGCAATGCTGCACAACGTTTTTCTGATGTATTTTCCACACACAGGCTTCTGCTATCATTTGAAACATGTGCAGTGTATTTAAACTGACTAAATAATAAAATTATTTTTCTCCTAGATATCTAAAATTAAAATACAGAAGTAGCAAAAGCAAGCTAACTTGAAAGATCAATTAATGCTACTTTTAATACTGACGTTAATGAGAAGTCTGTTTTTCATTTGTGTTTATACATTATGCACTTTTTACTTTTAGTTTTCAAACACCAGACTGCAGGAAATTCTTTGCATATGTATGAACCTGCTGTGGAGGGCAAAACTGTTGTGTAGACAGACCGTGTTTCACTTTGACCAAATGTACTTTATATGGATCATTAAGAATAATGAAGTATTTCCTGTTTGCAAAAAGGAACCATGTCCCTTCACTCCACAGTTGTGGTCATGGCACATTGTGATGTGATTATCTGGCATTGATTAGCAAATGCTTTGTTATGTTTTTTTCACATACACATATTCATTATGGCAGTGTATTTTTTTGTTTTTTGATTGCCTGCAGTGTCAGCGTGACCTATGAGTGAGTTTATTGGAGTGTCATTGTGTTGCTGTTGAAAAGTTAAATAAAAGTAAGAAAACACAGAGAGGAACTTCTGGTTTACCACGTTTGAAATAACAAGCCATGTTCCCAAGAGGCCCAGCCACTCTGCAGATATGCTGATAGTCAGGCTGATAGCCCAAATCCAGTTGTTTTCTTCTCTATTCTGAATCCTTTCTGAATGCACAAGCGTAGGAATGCGAGCAATATATAAAGAACATTTGTGTAGCTAATCCTCTTTTATAGAAAAAGAGTTCCTCTTTGTTCATCTCCTGGATTCTGTCCAAGGTTATTTCCAATTTTAGACTGAACTCTGCTGAATAATCCATGACAGAATACACATCTCCAATCAGATTAATTGAAAACAGTGATTGTTGCTGTTCAGGGCTTAGAAGAAAGTGTTGCAGACAAATCACAGTTTAAAACCAAATCAATAACGCTCACTGAGCTAAATTAGGCTGAAACACTTTCAAAGCAGTTAATGACAAATCCTGCCAAGCGTAGAGATAGAATGGGTCAATAGCTCAAACAAGCTGGATACAATCATGTTGCCTCACATGGACAAAGCCATTATGGCGACATGTACAAGTGATGTGCCAGATCTCCCTGAGGAAGAAGACCTTTAAATGCAAATGATACAATAAATATGTAAATATTCAAAGGCTGTGTAAACTCTAGAAGGATAGAAGATCTGGCGTCTTTTATCTAGTCTGCGTGCCAAAAGGATTCAGGCAATGTAGTTTGGAGCTGTGTGTGTGTGTGTGCATGTCTTTGAGTGGGTTGTTTTTGGGGAAGAAATGTAAAAGAATGATCTAACAACAGGAGGTGCAACTATCAGACAGAAAGAGAGATAAAAGATAGAAGACAGGAACCACTCGTTTTCCCATTAAAAAAAACAATGTTTGCATACTTTGATGCTACTGAATTTCTTTGCCAGCTGCACATGTGGCTAAAACTGAGCCACAGACGGTGGAAGCTTCAGAAGTGATCTATGATGACGTTCCAAGTGAGGACCCCCTCTCTCCTGATGAAGGTTAGTAGCTGTGACAGAATTGTGCGTGTTTAGGATGTCTGTCCACTCATGAATCTTGGTGTAGAGCTCCTAATGTGTAATATTTCTGTGTGTTTACCAGATATGATATATGAAGATGTTCAGAGAGACAGTGGTCCACCGAATGCTAACAATGGATGGAGCTCCAGTGAGTTTGAAAGCTATGATGAGCAGTCTGATAACGAGACCAAACTACCAACACGGAGCAAGGTAGCATTGGTGTGTGTATGGATGCATGCCTGATGTGTATATTTATATTTGTATATATTTTATACTTGTTTATTTTAAGTAGCATCAGGACCGGTCAGTTTGTTTGGGTTGGTTTCCAACACTTAAAGTATAATCAAGGAGAATATTTCATCTCCTGCTCCTCTAGCACATTTATCTTTATTAATGTATAGAACTGGAAGGAAACTATAAAGAACATGAAAAATGTATAACAGGCTGTCTAGGCTTTATCCTTTCGTTGTGGGATGAAAGTAAACAAGAGGCATTCCTGTTTGAAAAGCCTCAGATCTCCTTGCCTCTTCTCTGCCAAGGATGCTGTTCATCAATGTTGTGCAGCATGGCTACACAGTGTTTGCCTTCCACATGATGGCACTGTGCGCACATTCACATCGTGCTGCATTTCCTTTATGCTTCACCAGCCTTTAACGTGCATGCACCGTTGCAGGCAGGCATAAGGGAACTCTGGAGTCACACTAATAGAAAAGTATTTTGCTGAGTTGGATCATTATTAATGTATAGATTTATACCGACATTTACATATTTTTACATATTAAAGGTGTTTCTGTATGGATATAATTCCATTGTAATCCAAGAAAATCCTGAGTTACATCAATGACCGAAGGAAAAAAAAACAGGTTTTGTTGTATTGGGACTGAAAATGAGTTGCTCAGGTAATTACAGGAAGGTACGGTAAATTCCCCACAGTTCTCTTGGCATGCTTGGCCCAGGCCTCTGAACAAAAGGAAGGATTCAGCTTCACTTGTTGAACAATTAATGAAGAAACCTTGACTATTAGGGTCCTTCAACACTTTTAGGCTAGCACAGCCTTCATCAAAAACACATTGCTTTTAATTAGTCTCGCCCGATTAATTTTTCAACAAGTGTACCTGAATTCTTCCCTTCCCAGTTCACTTTTTAATTTGAGGAGCGTGGGTGACCTGTGACAGAGTTTGCTTCTTTCATTTTTGCCCTAAACTGCCTGCACCCCCCCCCCCCCC